CCCAGGGTAAGGGTGCTGCCCCCCTGCGCGGCTGCGGTGACGGGGAGAGCGGGGTTCCCCACGGAAACGGGCGGCCTCACCCCCTCCGGCCCCACCCCCTCGCCCTTCTCCGCAGCGCCCCGCCCGCGGCACCTGTGACCGCCCCTCCAGACGCCGCCGCCCCGTGGTCGTGCCCCTGTCCCCAGGACCCAGCTGACGCTCGCCACTAGCCTCCAGCCTCCAGCCTTGTCGCTCTTCTCTAAATAAAGATTCACATCCACCTGGTCTCCTGTTTATCCCGCGCATCCTCGGCCCGCCGGCCTTTTCCTGCCCCCTCTCTCTGTATCTCCCTCCTCTCTGAAGTATATGTGCGCATACACAGGTGTGTGCATGTGTAAGTCCACATGCATATGTAGACGCAATGCATATAAGTCTAACCAGTGCATCAGCACAGTGTCTGTGTGCATATAGGATACACATGGATCTCCATGAGTTCATAGCGACACTCCCAACCCCAACCTCAAACCTCAGGCTTTATTCTAATCACCCCCTCCCATGTTCACTATGCCCTTCTCCGAGGGAGGAACCTGGTTCCTGTTATCCTCAGTGTATTTATTTGCTCGGTCTTAGGATGCACTGGAATTCATTTCAGAATTGGCATCCCATAACACCACAAAGTAAGCCTACAACCGGTTGGCGTTTGCTTAAAGATGTCTTTAATCTGAGGCTAATAGCCACATGCTAGGTTCAGAGTTATCTGTGTTTGTGCTTTTTTTTTTAGTGTGGTTATGTCATTCCTCTGAAATGTAATGCAGTCACACTGCTGCTTGCACTCCATTTTAGGGCCTTTCCTCCATTTCTATTTATTTTATTTTATTTTATTTTTTTTAGTACGTAAAACATTAACATGGTTCTGAAAGGCAAAACTATACAAAAGGTGTCTCAGAGAAGTCACCCCTCCCACCCCTGAAGGAAATCAGTCTGGTCAGTTTCTAGTTCCGCCTTCTTATGTCTTTTTGCAAAAACAAGCAAATGCATGTGAATTTTCTATTTCTCCTACTGCACATTTTCACTAGAGGGTTTTGTTTCCTTCCACACCGACAACCAGTTCTCTAATTCTCTAGGACTGGCTGGGTGGCCTACAGTCCTATTCTGACGCCACCCAGAGACAACTCAGCCACAACACTGCCGCGCTTCAGTCGCCATTCACAAGTGTTGGGTCCTAGGCCACCACACTTCTACATGACTGAACTACAACTTTGGGGGATCTGCCTTCAGATTTGATAACTTGCTAAGGTGACTCACAGAACTCAGGAAAGCACTAACTAGATTATCAGTTTATGAGAAAGATACAGCTCAGGAACGGCCAGATGGAAGAGATGCACAGGGCAAGGGGTGGGGTGGGGTGGGGCACTGAGCCTCAGGCACCCCATGTGTCCACCAAAGGGAAGCTTTCCAAATCACCTAGCTCAAGAGTTTTCATAACCCAGTGTCCAGCCCCCTCCCCAGAGAGAGGTGCCCACATTCTCATGCATTGGTCTTCTGGAGACCAGCGCCCCCCGCCCCCATCCAGACACTGTCTGCCCCATCACATCCCATTAGCATAAACTCAGATGTGCTTATGAGTAACAAAAGACATCCCTATCACTCAGGAAATGCCAAGGATTTTAGGAGCCCTGTACCAGGAACTGGGACAAAAGCCAAATCTATGTTTTATTATATCACGTTCACTTAACAACATATACTGGAGATCACTCCGTGTCAGTGCGCAGATTCTCCGCATTCATTCAGGGCTGCGGCAGCCCGTGACAGTGTACCCTGTTTCCTCAACTACCCTCCTACATACGGCCTCTAGGTTGTTTATAATATTTTGCAAAACAAACAATGCTACAATGAGTAATTTATGTATTTTTTCAGTCCTCACCCGAGGATATGTTTTCTTTATTGATTCCCGAGAGGGGAAGGGAGAAACGGAGAGAAACATCCATCTGTTGCTCCCATACACATCCCACCGGGGATTAAGCCTGAAACCTCGGTATGTGCCCTGACCGGGAATTGAACCTGAAAACTTTTGTTGTATGGGAAGATGCTCTAATCAACAGAGCCACCTGCCAGGGCTGCATATGTATTTTTATTTTTTTGTAATCCTTACTCAAGGATAATTTTTTTCCATTGCTTTTCAGAGAGTAGAAGGGAGAGAGAGAGAGAGAAACATCAATGTTAGACACAAGATTGGTTGCCTCCTGAATGTGCCCTGACCCGGGCCCGGGATCAAGTCTACAACCAAGGTACATGCCCTTGGCCAGAACTGAACCTGGGACCCTTCCGTCCATGTGCCGACGCTCTAACCACTGAGAAAACTGGCCAGGGCTGCATATGTATTTTTTATTGTTGGAGAATTATCTTCAGGGGTAAGTTCCTAGAAGTAGTATTGCTGTGTTAAATTTTTTTCGCTTTTATAAAATTATAAAATTTTATAAATATAAATTTAAAAACAGCTTTTCTCAAGTTTTAAAGCTCAATTTAAAAGTTTATTTATAAATTTAGTAACTTTTGTGTTAGTGTGTCTTCACTGATTCTTTAATTAATATCCTGTTAACTTATACACTCGATCTAATCAATTTCTCTACAGTTTTTAAGACATTTCACAGACGTGACAAGCTTGATTAATTTGATTCCCGAGATGCATCGGACGCTAATCGTAAATGACCACATCTACTTCCCTGCGAGCTCTGAACATGCAGTATCACACACCTCCAAACCTATCACACAAAACCTCTGTGAGCACCGTCCAATCAGATCCTAACCTGAAATTCTCTCATTCTAAAAGTAAAGCCTGGGGTTACAAAATTTAAACCATTTCAAATTAAAACAGGTCCAGGGTGCTACACCCTCTTGAGTTTCACAGGCTCTCAGTAGCAAACAACATGAATTTGAAGGCTCCCATGACTTCTGGGCAAACCTCACCCGAGGCAGAGAGAACAGAGCTCTACGCCTTCCTGATGCCTGTCACCTGTCACCTGTCACCTGTGGCACAATATCCTAGCATCCCTCAGGGGGGCAGGTACTGTCCCTTCTGGCACTCTGACGGATCTGAATGTGGGTGTGACCAGGGCCAGGGTGTGGGGAGGGCCCCTGCCAAGCCCCCTGCAGTCAGGGTCAGGCTCCAGGTGGCAACCCAGGGGTCCTTGCATCCTCCAGGTACTCTTTACATTTGTTCACGCTCATATTTTACAGAAACCTCTTGTTAAAACTCTTTCACAAGTTAGACACCCTGGAGTGGAACCCCGAGCCTGCTTCCATCAGGTGGTCTGCAGGAGTGGTGGGGATGACATGCCCCCACCGGACCCCAAGCCAGGTCAGCCACCTGCCCACAGTCCTGTCTCAGGCCTAGCCCTCAGATGAGTCAACACTGAGACACTGCAGTTTGCTTACTTTTGGGTCTCATCAGTGAGGTGTGTGGCGTGGTGTGGGAGACCCTGAGTCCAGCTCACAGCCCAGAGGAGTCTCTTAAAGAAGGTAGAAGAGCTGATGAGGCTT